TTGAGAAGTGGATTCTTGATTTAAGGAAGCTCAATATGGGGGAGGCTTTTGCTCAAGGTGCCTTTGGAAAACTGTACAGAGGTACTTATGATGGGGAAGATGTTGCTATCAAGATCTTGGAGAGGCCTGAGAATGACCTGGAGAAGGCCCAGTTAATGGAGCAACAATATCAGCAGGAGGTGATGATGCTTGCTACTCTGAAGCACCCAAACATTGTCAGGTTTATTGGAGCATGTCATAAGCCAATGGTTTGGTGCATTGTTACCGAATATGCAAAGGGTGGTTCAGTTCGACAGTTCCTGATGAAGCGACAAAGTCGCTCTGTCCCCCTGAAATTAGCTGTCAAACAAGCTTTGGATGTTGCCAGAGGGATGGAATATGTTCATGGCCTTGGATTGATCCACAGGGACTTGAAATCAGACAATCTTTTGATTTTTGCAGATAAGTCCATCAAAGTTGCTGACTTTGGAGTGGCCCGGATTGAAGTGCAGACTGAGGGAATGACACCCGAGACTGGAACCTACCGCTGGATGGCTCCGTAAGTCTCTTGAAACTTGGATGTTGCTTTCTGTTATAATCATCTCTTCCAAATATATTCTGCATGCTTGTTTTCGCCATTTATTTATTGTTATTATTATTATTATTACTTTTTTTTCATAATTGTGATTCTGATTGCATATGTATTCTACTGGCACAATCAAGATTATCTTACTAGATGACAATTTATGTTAAGAGTGCAGTACAAGTGAAGGAATTGAAAATTTTGCGAAAATAATAGTCACTAGCTATATTTAGTGGATTTCTTGGTTTCACAGTTGATATTTTTCTTCTGGGTCTTGGTAAAAATCCATTTGGTAAGTTTGTTCTACTCTGTCGTCAATTAAAGATTACAGTTTAGATTTTACTTCACATACACGCATGCATATGCAAATTATACACATATAAACACAGTAATGTGGTCAGGATTGTTAAGCAAGTTGTTTCTATCTTCTTTGTCTCTCTTTTTTGGTTGGAGAAAATATTTGGTCTGGTTTGTAAGGAGTGGTGACATGTTCAAAACCTGGTCTCTGAAAACACCGTTCGACTGTTCGAGTGCATAAAGTACGTTGTTTTTTTAACTGAATATATGCATGCAGCACGTAAATACAGTATATCAGCAGTATTTGGTTTCTACTTTTTGATCTTGGCATGCTTAGCTAATTTTTGCCTGATAAAAATAAACCATGGTTCAATTGAAAATTTAGACTTCATTCTTTTTTTTAGAATAACAGTTTATGTAGTTTCTGTTTATTTGCACTTCGACTGATATTGAAAAGGAAAAGAATATGCTTCATTTCGCTTTTTCTTCTTTCGTCTAGTTAGTTTAAAGTCATAAACACAAGCTATGTGGTAATGTTAACATTCTAGTTAGGTGCCATGTATGACTTGAATCCATGGCTCATTAAGATCTACTGCATGACTTTTTTTTTACCATTAGTCCAACCCATGGCTGTTCTGTAGTGGCCTAATTCAGATGGTCTTTTTTCCTTCCACCCATTTTTCTCTCAGCCTTCTTGGGAGTAATTTTTCCTCTTTTTCTCTACATTTTGGCTTTTGTTTTGTATTCGCCTTTGGTTTCGAAGGAGTCTAAAGCCAACCTTCTTGAATTGTTTTCCTTCAATTCACCGATGCATCCTACAACAAAACTCTAGTTGGTAATCTTCTTGAACCAGTCTTGGGTGATGGTACTCTGACATAATAGTATATTTTTCATACGTTTAACGTATGATTTCTCTTATGATAATACTTTTTTGCTCAATTTAATGTTTGATTTTACACTTCAAATGTGATTTTCATTTCATAAAAATTGACCACTCTCAAACATGTCTTGGGTTCGACCAAGAAGTACCCTAATATGACTTCCTATGGTTTCGTACAAAGAGCTTGGAGACTTCGTTTTTCTTCTATTTTCTTCGATTTTCCCTTTGTTATTTGTTACTGATTGGCATGTTGCTCCCAGGGAAAGTTGCTGAGCAATTTTTGTTAGTTTTCGGTTATATATATATATGTGTGTGTGTGTGTGTGTGGATATTTAATTTTCCAATATTAGATATATGAGTTCTTGTTGTTTTCATTGTTTGAATCATCAGGGAGATGATCCAACACAGGCCTTACACTCAAAAGGTGGACCTGTACAGCTTTGGCATAGTTCTCTGGGAGCTGATAACTGGAATGCTTCCATTCCAGAACATGACTGCCGTTCAGGCCGCCTTTGCAGTTGTCAACAAGGGTGTCCGTCCTATCATTCCCAATGATTGCTTACCTGTTTTGAGCGACATCATGACCCGATGCTGGGATGCCAACCCCGATGTTAGACCATCATTTACTGAGGTTGTCAGAATGCTTGAGAATGCACAGAATGAGATCATGACGACCGTGCGCAAGGCTCGTTTCAGGTGTTGCATGAGGCAGCCAATGACAACAGACTGATATGAATGAAGTTACTAAAAAGAAAAAAGAAAAACCGAACACAGTGAGAGCGTCGTTAAGGGGTCAATAAGGAAAGAGACACAGGTGAAAAAGAAAGGGGAGAAGGGGAAGAAGAGGCAGAGGCAGAGGCAGATGCAAATAGAAGAAGGAAAGGTGAATTGTGGGTGTGTGTTTATGTTTGTTGTGTATTTAAATTTCTGTTTATCAGACACAGAGAAAGGAAAAACTTGAAAAACGATGGGTTATGATGAATACCTTTTGGTTTGGACCTTCTGGTTTTGAGTTTCCTATTTTATTGGATTCCTGTTGGCAGCCTACTTAACCATTAAAAGAGGAGATTTGATGTATGTATTTACCTCTTGCTAAATTCTCTGGTTTAACTTAACGCCTTCTTTTCTCGAGGTCGGAAGTTTAAATCTCTTATTATCTTCCGACTTGGCATGGCGAATTTTGAAACTTCAGCCTTTGAAGTTTCGTATTTTCAGCCATTTTCAAGTCTTTTGACAGGGATCAGCAAGAATTTTATGCTTATTTTCGAGTCTTTTGACAGGGATCTGTAGTAATCTTATGTTTATTATCGAGTCTTTTGACAGGGATCTATAGTAATCTTATGCTTATTATCGAGTCTTTTGACAGGGATCTGCAGTAATCTTAGGCTTATTATCGAGTCTTTTGACAGGGATCTATAGTAATCTTATGCTTATTATCGAGTCTTTTGACAGGGATCTGCAGTAATCTTATGCTTATTATCGAGTCTTTTGACAGGGATCAACAGTAATCTATGCTTATTTTTTAGTCTTTTGACAAGGATCTGCAGTAATCTTATGCTTATTAACGAGTCTTTTGACAGGAATCAACATAATCTTATGCTCATTATCGAGTCTTTTGACAGGGATCAATAGTAATCTTTGCTTATTTTCAAGTCATTTGACAGGGATCAGCAGTAATCTTATGCTTACTTTCAAGTCTTTTTTAAGAATCATAACTCTCCACGGTATGATATTGTCCACTTTGAACCTAAGCTCTTGTGACTTTGTTTTTTTTTTTCATAACTCTCCACGGTATGATATTGTCCACTTTGAACCTAAGCTCTTGTGACTTTGTTTTTTTTTTGTTTCTCCAAAAAGGCTTCATACCAATAGAGAAGTATTTCTTATTTATAAACCCATGTTCAACCTCTTAACTAGGCGACCGAGATTATTTCTTTCCATAATCTTCACACATGCACACGTGTTTGCATGCATGGTCTCACAATCACATGATAGGACAGAGTGAATTTTTTTTTTAAATACTCAGATCTTAGTTTTTTAACCTTTTAATCATTTAAATTTAAATTTTAAATACTCAGTTTTTTTTTATTATTATTATAAAAAAAATTAGGACTTCAATTGCAAATTATTTTACTTAATTTAAATTATTCATAAAATTGAATCAATTAGGAGGTAGCAGATTAAAACAAAGGAAATATAGAATTTAAAATTTAAAATTTTTTATAAAAGATGAAAATTTTTAGAGAAATTTATTTTCAAAACATTTTATCTTTACACAATAATGACAAATTAATAAAATACTTACTACACAAACCTACCCTTGCTATGTGAGAAATTTTGAATTCTTTGTCCTTATCCACGTATTCATTATATATATATATATTTTTAATTGTGATTTTTTTCTTTGTTCATTTGTTTTTAAAAATAAGATTTGTTTTAAAAAATAAGGCAAGTTTTAAAATAAAAATTATATATATAACTAATTTTTAAAAACTTATTTTTACTTAAAACATGTCAGATAAATAATCAATCATATCTAATTATACAATTAAATATTTTAGGAGTGGATCTCAGAATAAAAATGATTTATTTCATATTTTAGGAGTTGATCTCAGAATAAAAATGATCTATTTCTATGGTCTACGATTAAATTATAAGTTTAATTCATAAATTTACTTTCATTTTTATGCCTTTCCTACATTAATAGAAAAAAAAAAAAAACAGGTTTAATAAGTTGCTCGAACTTTCAATTTTATATTTAATAAGTCTCCAACCTTACAATTTTGAGCCGAAAAGATCATTCATACATTCACCAAACCTAGAAAAGTTAGTTCCTTATAAGACAAACTTTAAATACAATTTTGAGTCTAATAGGTCATTCATTCATCGAACCTAACAACACAAAATGAAAAGTCTAGTGTAAGACTTTACCGGACATAAATTTTAAATTTTAAATTTTGTTAAAAGATTTATTAAACACAAAATTGAAAGTTCAATGTAACCCAAGCTCACTGTTAGCAGATATTGTCCTATTTTAGCTTTTCCTCCCGAACTTCTCTCACGTTTTAAAACGCATCTGTCGAGAAGAAGTTTCCACACTTTTATAAAAAATGTTTTATTTCCCTCTCCAACCAAAGTGGAATCACACGTTCAGGTTCTTACTAGATAAATACTTAGAACAGAGACTAAACGGGTAATTTAAGGTATCAAAAATAGCTGCAACGCTAGCAGAAAAAGAAGCAACTTGGCTACATGAAGAACTAGAGCCATATTATAATACCATTAGACTGTGCAATCCAGTATGCTGCGAATCTCATAAGCTCTGGTCTTTCATTCGCAAAAAACTGTATTACTGCAAATACTCAATGAACTCACAGTTATATAGCAGAGAAAAGGGAAAGCTACACTGTTCTTACAATTATATACCCTACTCTTTTTATGATTCTGAGCCCAAAATTCCAAAACTGAAAGGGTAGTAAACAGCTAATGGCGCTTCATTTCCTGGAATAAATTTGACACTCTTGGTGATAGCCTTGGCAGATACTTAAACAGCTGTTACATACAAAAACACACAGTTAACAATCCTTCTGAAGGAAGAAAAAAAAGACTTCATGGATACAATCAAGAAAACTATTGTTTTGATCCTTCTAGTTCATATCACATTGATCCTTACTGTGCAGAAGGTTGAATGTCCATATATCTCGAAGTTAATGACGACACATGTCGAATGCTTAAAACAACAAGTGAGAATGGACATGAAAAAGAATCCTAACGTACGGAAAAGAAAGAAGAAAGGGCGAGGAGGAATTCCATACTCCGATCTTACTGGGGTGGGGTATATAGGTCTCGATCACGTGGCTGGGGTCGCTTCAATTTCCCAAGACTTGAGAAGGAGATTTAAAAGGTTTATAATTACATGGTACTTTCTTAACTTTAAGGGTGAATGTAATATAGATTAAACCTTCAGAGATTATATAAAAGTTGCAAAAAACTGGAACAAAATACGAGCAAACAAAAAATTCATCTTATGAGCAAACAGAACATAAAGAACCCAGGCCCTTTGCACAATATGGCATGGTTACCATTAGTGGACTGGATGCCTATTCTGAAAGTAAGATATTGAACCAACACAGGTATTTATCCTTTATTTTTTTCAAATTTTAAAATACTGCATCAAGACACTAAAAAAATATAATAATTTTCAAAATTTCTGGATGTATCGTTCACATGCTACGGCCCTTACTGCAGATAAGAATATGAAAAATAATGTAGGTAATGAAAAGATATGTGGAACATACCCAAAGTTTCACACACGCATCCATGATAACTGGAACCAGGCATACAAAGATGGTTATAGTAGCCTTATCAACCTCGAAGCCATAGTGTTCGAAAATTATCTCTAACAAAGTCTGCCAGCCGGATTCGGAATGGTACCTGCCAACAAAAACATTTTAATAGCACCAGAAACTGGGAATAGAATTTGTTTATGCAATACACAAATTTATAAGAGATCTGTACAAGGTAATGGATAAATACCAGGCAATTCACCCCAGCAAGTTTTGATCAAGATAATTCAATAAAAAAAAAATAGCAACTAATTCTCTCATTTATCCTTCTATGATTTCCATTTAATTTGAAGACCTTGTTTAACTGCTAATCCTTTAACTAACTGAATAAGAATCAACTTTTCCAAAAAAATGTCCTTTAAGGGAGATAAGGAGTCCACTTCTTGAAAGAACTTTTACTTTCCAAATCCAATACTGTTTAATACTATTATGTGCATTAGAGATTTTGTTGTGGATGAAGGATGATAAGGAATCACTACAAGGAAAGTAAGATTCAAATTACCTTGTTGATCAAATATCTCAAGGCAAGAACACTTGACTGAGAGAATCACTCCACAAGCAAGATCGATCATGTCAAGTTTGAATGATTCTAAACATGCAATCTAAACTACATAGAATTAAAAAGAAACTTAGCTCTTGGCTAAAGGAAAGGTAAGAACACTTAACCCTAATGATAACGAATCACTCCAAGGGAAAGTAAGATTAGAATTATCTTGTTGATCAAATATCTCAAGACAGAACATTTGTTTGAAATTTGAATCAAGCTTGAATGATTCTAGACATGCAATCTCAACTACATATAATTGCAAAGAAACTTAGCCTTTGGTTAAAAGAAAGCAAAAATGCTCTTTTTACTGCATTTTCCAAGTCTTCTTTACAAAGATAACATACATGGTTTTATATAGCCTCAAAATGAAATCCTTTTGACCTTCCATGAGACATTTCAAGAGTTTAGAACTTTCATACTTTATGACCATAAATAGCCACGATGTAAATGTAACCTAAAAATAAATAAAAAAAAGTCTTAAAACTTAAAATACATTAACGAAACACCATAAATCTAGATTTTAATCATCCATCATAAATTTGTAACCATCTAAGAATATATAAAAACACATTTGAAGTATCTTGAAGCCCTTATTGTATAAACGAGACTTCAATAGAACTCTGACTTTATCTTGTAGTAATTGAAACAACATTCTTCACAACTTCCTTCAAGTTCAAATTGTATGTATGATTGAGATGCCTTAGTTTATATCAAAAGATTTCCTATGTTCAATAAGGGAGTCCAGTTCAATGGTTTCATAGACGTGCCATTTCTGGCATTTGTAATGTTATGGATACGATAATTCATGATCCCTTAAAAGTGTGAAGAGGTTAGCTCATGAAAGGCACGAGAGGAATTATAATATCCAAGTCTTTTACATTATCTTCTATGTCAATTCTTATTCTAGGCTTTTCTTTATCATAAAGATTGAAATTAAAAATTAAAGTTTAAATCTAAATTATGGGATAGACCACCCTCAATTCCTAGTTATTGTTTTCTACGCTAATCTACCTTCTTTACAGTCTCTCAATTATAATGACTGGATATTGAGTGTCTCATATTCCCTTGCCACATTCTGCAGGCATTACATTTCTAGTCAAATCTATGTCTTTATAGTTAAAAGCGGCCACAAGGTGATCAAGAGACTGGATCTTGAAAGATCAGAAATTATGTTATCAAGCCCTTTCTCTATGCTGAAGTACTCAAGTTTGACAGTACTATGGATTATCATGTCTAATAAATAATAAATGAAAGAACAGACTTAGAATCATGGAAGCATATGGAAGGAATTGATAGAAGAACCAAAATTGTAAAGACTGAATAGTTACCCTAAAAAAATATCTGTAATAAGTATAATTAAAAATGCCTTCCCAGTATCTGATATATCACTTATAATTTTATAACCTGTAAATTTCAACAGAGCTACCTGCAAAGTCCAGGAACGAAAAAGAAAATTGATTAGTTGCAGAATATATTGGATAGCATAATTAACAATGTAGCTTAAGAGAAAAATAAGAATTAAATTAAAACAAAAAAACATATATAACCATGCTTAGCCAACATAGTTTATTTTCCATTCAGAAACTATTTAAAACATCAAAAGTCATAATGCTTTGACTTCAAATATAGTTTTGTCTCACGGTCCACTCCTGACATCAAAATATTATAACAGAGTTGGTACAGATATTGTGACATATTGACTTGACCAAAATTGAATTGGTATTGTTGATGTACAAAAGATAATTTTAAGGACCCATGAAGTTTGAGAGAGAGGGAGACTATCTTGAACAGATATGACCATGAAGGCCACGTCCAATTACTAGAGCAGTAATAGAACACGTATTCCTGCCCAAAAAGTTAGCATCCAGCAAGCTACACAACACTACCAATGGACTTCGCTTCAACCCTTATAAGTACTTGCATGGTCAAGATATCTCTAAACCCCAAAACAACGACTTTCCTCTTTGGCTTCCTCTCTCGACCTAGCTTTACTCTTTTCAACTACGAAGATTAAGTTCAAGAAATTCATGAATTTTAGTCATTTTAAAATCGGAAACGAGTCTATTTTTGTTAGATTAGGTAATGATCCTGGGGTGCGATTATGGTTGAGGAAAAAAAAGGTGGTTTACTTTTCTTTTCAGTGTGCAAGGGAGTGCTTGTTGGAGGAAGTTTTTGTTGCTTTTCAGGAGGTAAGATGAGCATAAAGGTTAAGAAGTTTTTGGAACTGCTGCAACGTCCACTCAATTTCTGTAGGCCAATAAGTTTTCTGGAAATTCTGCTCTAAGATTTTCAAAATTTACTCTCTCAACTATCAGATCAGATAGTGTTTATTCAGTCCCTTCTCTCAAATAATGTTATGAGCTTTCATTATTTCTATGGTGGTTGGAAAACAATGTTATGATGACATGGGATGACCCGTATTATACATCTTAATTTCACTAACAAAAGTCAGAGAGGGAGAGAGCAGGTTGTAACTTACTTTACTTTGATTGAAGTACAAAAGAATGAATGATGAGATCCCAAATACCATGTCTGACCATATGTTGGCAAATGCTTTACGGTTCTCAAGCCTCCACTCCTCTCTCATTGTTAACCTGTTTCAAGGCACCAACCAGAGAAATTTTTTAATGAGTTTCTTTATACCGAATGGAATGGCGTCTATGCAAGAAGAACCACTGACATAGGAATGCACACAATTATGTATGTACGTATATATGTGACGTAGGAGTGCAGTAGGCATGATTTTTGGGTGTTATTGTAACCTCAACCAAAAGCTACAAACAGTACATTAAGTTATTATCCTATGATAATCTTCTATCACTTCCAGAAGACTGTGTGCATGAACATGTTGATTATTTTCATGTATAAAAATGGAAATAAAAAGTATTAATAAACACAAATACCAAGGTTCACCATATGTGAATTGTAGCTTTATGTTTTTGACAAAAATTATTAATTCGTTACTCAACCCAAAAGCTTAATTTGATAGGTTTAACCCAAAAGCTTAATCTGATAGGTTATGGTAAATTTAAATATATTAATATTTTAACACTTCTCACTTGTGGGCTTGAAAATTTGTAAGACTCAATAAGTGGAAATCAATATTAATTGAGGAGGAAATGACATTATCGAGATTCAATTACAGGACCTCCTACTCTTCTAATACCATGTTAAATCACCATTCAACCCAAAAACTTAAGTTGATCGATTATGGTAAATTATAAGTTTTCATGGAGAAAAACTATTTGTCAATTTTAGCTCAGCCTATGGGGTGGAAGAGAGGATAAATGTGTCGTTTGATAAATAGCGCTTCAGTTGTATAAGTGAATTAGTGAAACAGGGGACACCAGGAAGAGCGACTAAATATTCTTAGACTAACAAAAATAAGTTCATAGATATACCAGAATATCAAAGTTCATAGATATACCAGAATATCAAAATTGAGGCATGAACTTTGGCAGTAATCAAGGAACTCCAGAAGGTTTAAAATTGAAAATCATCTAATAATTGCACTATTTAAATTACTAAACAGAAAAACACTTTATCCACCCAATACATTAAATTGAGATAAAATAGCGCGCATCAGTTTTAGCACGATTGTTAATGTTTTTAGTAGTGTAAATGTGAGTGGATGTACAACCCTAAAATGTGAGGTTCTACTGTATAGAAAAGGAAAAAGCGAAAAGGACTTCACAATAAAGCTCTTGACCTTTATCTCAAAACAAAAGTAGCAGGCAAAACAAAACATCATCCATCATTAAACAGCAACCCAATCTCAGGCTTTCAGGTCTAACACATTTTTGTAATGGATTTTTCTTTCAGACATGGCAAAACCGTAAGGAAAACTTAATAGAATTTACTTAGGACACTTAACTTCTTACTAGAATCTAAAAAGGAAAAAAAGAAAAACAAGCTTAGTTGGAATCCAAAGAAAACAAAAATTATGAATGCAAACTTACGCTTTATGCCGTAACTCCCACCACAGCTCTTCATCAGAAAGAGGAGGAGATTTTCCAATTTCCATCTCAAGTTTGAATCTTGCTTTCTCAATTTTTAGTTCCTCAACCATCTCAAGTTTCTGGTATCTTCTCACATCAAGAAACTCTGCTGCCAGTGGCACTTTCTTGACATACCTGTTAGTTTAAAATAATTAAAAAATAATAATAAACATATGTCTTTCACATCCAATTTTAGCAATGATTGATCTAATGTAATAGTTTAATGACAGCTCCAAAATAAGCGCACTTCCTCTGTATATATATGCGTAAATATGGATTCAGGTGAATAAGATCAGAAGGTGATTTATCATCTAATCATAAAGGATCAAGAAACAAGTGGCACTCTTATGGGCTCTTCCCAATGCAAGTTATAATATCGAATCCCGAATGACTGCATTGTTCAACAAAGTTGCATACATTGGTGCAATTAATTATAGAAATGATGTCTTGCCCATATGAGGGCCAGTAAGGATGGTGCATGCCAATATAAAGGAGAGTTTGAAAGGTCGGTAATGTTAAGAGACCCGAGGGAAGACTTCAAACCCACTGTACAATGCCTATGAAGGTTGAAATTGAAATTGCTAACATTAGTGCAAAGGAAAACCTAACCATGTGAGTGATGGTAGCGAAGCCCCCTACATAAGTGATGAATATAGAGTAAAGCAAGTTCAATGCCAGGTCTTGAACCCCAGCCATTTAAGAAGGGTTTGTAAAGGCAGAAGATGGGCAGAAAGACCTAACATTACTTGGATTTTTTTTATATAAGAAACCTAGAAATTTTTATCCCTCCCAAATATGTACGACTGGGAAGTATGTAACAATAGAGTAACAGAATTGTTAAGACCCCACAATTTAGAACCTCAGTTAGAAGATGGGCGGAGAGAATATAGAATAATGCAAAGAGTAGCAATCACTCCTCCACCTCTCATTCTATCAGATTTCTTCTGAACCTAATGATCCGGCTAGTCAGACAGCCACCCCACATTTTGAAGTAGAAAGCCTTAAGAACAAAAAGGTGAGGAAGCATTAGTATAAAGGCCATATTTGTACATCAGTGATCGTCCCAACATATCACAGTTGCTCCATCTCTTTAACTTAAACACAGGAACTAGTTTAAAGTCAAGTAACTAAAGTACTTGTGAGAAAAACCAAAGAAATTATCAGCAAGCTAATAATTATTTAATGTCAAAATGCAATGAGTTCCTTAGAAAACCTCCAAAGCCATTGTAGATCATCATCCTAGTTCCATGTCTGAAGTTTCCAGTATAGAGGACTTTTAATCTTCTAAATAATAATAACAATAATCCAATGTAACCAAATTTCCCATGAGAATCTCTAATAAATTTTTCAAACGGAAGCTACTACAATAGTAACTCCATAAACAGAGAGAGTTTATGGGGGAGATAAGAGAGAATCAAATTAGCCAAAGATGGGGAACTCCATTTTAATATTTATTTTTGTAATTATCTTCAAAAGAGAGTTCTGAAAGCTTGGAGATGTGGGACTTTCCCAGATGGCATACCAAGATAAGAAATAGGCCAACCCCTTCCTAATACTACCAAATTCAAGCCACATTCATCAGTTCATAATCTGTGGAAATCCTATGAAGATACAGCATAACAATAAGAACGCAGTGAATACAGTTCATAGTCCTGTTCAACATGAAAACACAGCATATAGAAGCTGACGGTCAATTTTTTTTATTAAAGAAGAACTCGAAGGTGAGGTGATTTGTACGTGTCATATAAACTAAGAAACAACCAGAAGATTTTCTCAAAAAGTTTTTCAGAAACAGCAGTTTGAATCTATGTATACACAAGCTGCAGTGACCAATACTTTGTGATTCAATTGAAGTTCTAAAAAGTTTAGATTTAACTCCAAGTTGGCTAACTTGATGGGCTGTATACGGGAGTGTTGGATGATGGAAGTCCCACATCGACTAATTTAGGGTGTGATCATGAGTTTATAAGTGAGGAATACTAACTCCATTGGTATGAGGCCTTTTGGGGAAGCCCAAAGCAAAGCCATGAGAGCTTATGCTCAAAGTGGACAATATCATACCATTGTGGAGAGTCGTGTTCGTCTAACATGGTATCAGAGCCATGCCCTAAACTTAGTCGTGCCAATAGATTGGTAAATCCTCAAATCCTCAAATATCGAACAAAGAACTCTTAAAGAAAAGGAGCTAAGCCCCTCCTCGAAGGCAGTCAAAAGAAATGAACCCAAGAGTTGATCGAAGACCTTGCAAGTGTGTCAAGAGTGTCGTAATGGGCAGGACAGTTGCCGGTCAGAATTATAATCAGTTGGGGGTTGAAGCCAAGACTACCTGAAATTCATTAGTGTCGTGTGTCGACACCTCAATATGGGAAGATCTACCCGTCAAGCAAAAAACCAAGCTCACCTGAGAAGAGCTTGCAGTACGAAGTAGACAAGACAGATGAAACAGAAAGCACCATGACGGTGCCTTCCAAAGAACCATTCACATTGGAGGAATAGTGTCAGTGGTTGCAAGCAGAGAAGCCGAGAGCCAAGAAAAGACAAACGTCGGCCGAGTGCAAGAGCTGTATACAATGTAAGTCCTTATGGGGGGGACGACCTTGCTGCAAAGAGGCAGCTAAGTTCGAGCGGGGGAGAGCAACATCAATAAGTCTCTCACCCCGTAAAGGTGCTCGGACATACGAGCACACGTGTATTCCTTGAGTCACCACCTTGTGCCTAGGGTGGATGACTCCACCAACAGATGTCAAGACCAGTATCCGCTCGAGAAGTGAGCAACAAGCTGGAAGTTCACGCACAACAGTAGTCACACGATGTGACAAAATACAAAGAGTTGGCCGAAAGTTAGCGCCAACAACTGAAGAGACTGTCAAAGAGTTGACTTTGCTCAATAGGAGAAGTGGTCGCAACCAAAGAGTGTTGCGGCTTCCTCTTACCACTTTGTTGCCCCCATATGGGTTACAAGCTCACATTGCCAATGGAGTCAATAGATTGGTAAATCCTCAAATCCTCAAATATCGAACAAAGAACTCTTAAAGAAAAGGAGCTAAGCCCCTCCTCGAAGGCAGTCAAAAATGACTAAGACTCCAATGGAGTCAAGCCTCGATTAAGAGCTAAGCCCCTCCTCGAAGGCAGTCAAAAATGACTAAGACTCCAATGGAGTCAAGCCTCGATTAAGGGGAGGCGCACTTTGTTCGAGGGGAGGTGTTGGATGATGGAAGTCCCACATCGACTAATTTAGGGTGTGATCATGGGTTTATAAGTGAGGAATACTAACTCCATTGGTATGAGGCCTTTTGGGGAAGCCCAAAGCAAAGACATGAGAGCTTATGCTCAAAGTGGACAATATCATACCATTGTGGAGAGTCGTGTTCGTCTAACATGGTATCAGAGCCATGCCCTAAACTTAGTCGTGCCAATAGATTGGTAAATCCTCAAATCCTCAAATATCGAACAAAGAACTCTTAAAGAAAAGGAGCTAAGCCCCTCCTCGAAGGCAGTCAAAAATGACTAAGACTCCAATGGAGTCAAGCCTCGATTAAGGGGAGGCGCACTTTGTTCGAGGGGAGGTGTTGGATGATGGAAGTCCCACATCGACTAATTTAGGGTGTGATCATGGGTTTATAAGTGAGGAATACTAACTCCATTGGTATGAGGCCTTTTGGGGAAGCCCAAAGCAAAGACATGAGAGCTTATGCTCAAAGTGGACAATATCATACCATTGTGGAGAGTCGTGTTCGTCTAACAGGGAGAATATCTTCCAGTACTTTTAGTCGTTTATCCCTATGTAATCACTTTATTAACCGGAAAAGGTTTTATTGTCAGAAATGTTCTGGAAAACAATGCCAAAAGAATGAACACGTAGTCATGAAAGATAAGCCCATTACATCATGATGTTTCATGGACTGCAAATTTACTGCAAATTTAAGCACAAATTAAATTACTGATACTAAAGATAAGGGGCAAAGTATCCATAAAATTTCTCCCTGAAGGCATGACACACCATAAAGAAAAATTACTCATCTATTACCTATCAAGAAAGGGCATGAGAACGTAATCATGAACCACGAAATCCAATGCCCATGGTACAATTATTAAGACTGTCAGAAATTTTGCCTGCAAAAGTTCAAAAAGGTATTAGCTTAGAATAGGAAAGGTTTCATTCTGAGAAACAATATTTAAACCAGTGATTTCAAAGTGCAAGTAAGTTCCCTTTTCAATGCTATATTTGAAAGGAGATCTAGTGATCCACAAGTGTGAGATCAGTGCTACTTGGGTTAAAGTGGTGATTTAACTCTAGGACTTCTTTTGAAGTAGTATAATCCGGAAAAAGCATCTTGGGAACATATGATTGAGAAGATCGGTCTAGTTGGGAACTTCTCAACATTTCCCAAGGTGGAAGGCTAACTCTTAACAAGTCAATTACTTTCCAACCTTCCTTCAAATTCTCAGGCCTAAAAAGTTTCATATGGAGATGGAATAAAAATGAGTTTTTTCTTTTGGAATTAAAAAAGGTTTCTATGCTAATTCTTTGCAAGCCAGAAAGCTCTGTAAGAGGTTATCCAATCGCTGGATTTTGTGGTTTTATAGATCAGCTGGGGCGGTGGCCAAAAACAAGTACTCCAAGATATCAAACTCCAAACCCTAACAGCTCACAAAAATTCCATAACGTGAGAAACAAAATATGAGAGAATACTTATATATAGTTCATGCTATCCCATCACTGTAGTTGCATATAATATATTCATACATGGAAACCCTGAATTAATAAATATAGTGTAAGATTACAATAAAAGACAAAAGACTAATAACCACCTATTTGCTATAATACTATGCACGCTATAGCAAGTCATCAAACATAATATTGTGTGACACGGAAAGGGCAAGCAATGGACTTCAAGTGTCCTCCAACAAGAGCATAAACACTTGGATAGAAATATAGGGCACATATGTGAGGTGTAGCACTTCTTCCTAGGGCGAAAAGTTTCAATATAGCATATATCACAAGGACAATTATATGATCGTGGGTTTCCACAGGCATGATCAATGTTGTGTCAATTGAGGGCTCAAATGGATAGAGATCTAGGAAAATCCTTTCGTAGTTAAGCAAGTCTCATAGTCATTCAAAGAAAAGCGCCTTCAAGCAAGCAACAATATATAAAGCCATAAAGGCATCCCATGTCATGTTGAGTGTTCAAAGGAGGTAAGGCTATGTAGGTTTGGTTTTTGGCTCAAAGAGGCAAGACAACTTTGGATTTCAGGCAAGTATCTACTTATAGTAAGGCATGAACAAGGAGCATATAAATAAGCAATCACATTACAAGGACAAGAAAAGGCTAAGCCAATGATGAGCAAAATGTTTAAGACAAACACTAGAAATACATGTTCTATAGACTCCATCAATGCAGAAAACAAACTTGTCACAGGTCAAGTATCCACAGAATCATGAAATAGTGTTACAGTGTGAGAAGCTTTCAACAAGCCATAATGAGAGAGGAATTATGGCGACATACAAATGAAGATGGTTGAGGTCATGATATGGCATGTTAGCTAGCTTCTACAAGAGATTGTTAGGCTGCTAGAATACCCTAGCAGTTAGAACGTGTCCATTTAGGGATATAACTGTTTGGAATCACGGATCTCAACAATGGTATGATATTTTCCACTTTGAGTATAAACTCTCATGGTTTTACTTTGGGCATCCCCAAAAGGCGTCGTACCAATGGAGATGTATTCCTTACTTATAAACCCATGATCATTCCCTAAATTAGTCAATGTGAGACTTCCTCCCAACAATCCTCAACAATAATAAATCGCATACATGAGCTTACCGAATTGAATGAGGCATACTGGAATACACGGTCCTCATAGAGAATGTCATCTTCTTCCTGCCCAAGAACCAAATCTCTGACTGACTCAACAAGTCCTTTCTCAGGGACTAACTCGCCAGCATCCGACAATTCTTTATTCAATTCCCCAAAACCATCGTCCCAATCTTGACTCCACGAAGATCGAACATGATCCGTGTCATCATAAATCCAATCAGTCCACCTCTTCCCCTGTTCATTCCTCACATCTTCCTGTGCTTCCTTCAATTCAGTAATGGCCTCAGCCCTCTTCTTCCACGCCTCAAATTTCTCATCATCAGACAAATCTTCATCACTCGCAACACTCTCCAACTCATCCTCCAACATGCCATCATCCTTCAAGCCCAACCAATTTCCATCGTCATCAAAGAAAAACTTCTGCCACCAACTCCTCTTTCTCGAAAACCCATCATTCTTCTTGGCATTAAGAACATGCCGATACCGACCGAATCCTCTTCTCTTTCGAGCCACTTTACCAAAGGAATTGCACGAAGAGAAATTGAAAACACAAGACGCCTTGCAGTCAAGACAGATTAACTGGGGGCGTAATGGAATTGACGTGCTCATCAAGAACATATGCATTAACCAACATTTTTCAGCTTCCAAAAACGATGATCATGCACGCTAATGAGAAGAAATCAAAGGAATGAAACAAGGAATTGTTCTAGTCTGTCGCTAATCTAATTCACCATGTCCATAATCCAAAAAGAAACTCATAAGAACAGAATTGAAAGCGATGATCAAGAGGAACTCAGCTCGGCATTGTGGATTGAATCAGAAACGGAACAAAAACGTTTGGCGAAAGTTCTTCCCTCCCGTGAATCCGCTTGGACTGAAGCTCTGGAGGAGCTTAGAGAGAGAGTCTTGAAACTCAGAGGTAAGGATAACGGTAGTGGACACGTAGCTACATCTACAGATAATTCCACAAATTACAGAATTGATTATAATTTTTATATATATATATATATATATATATATATATATATATATATATGCATATATATATATCTCTTTTTTTATACAATTTTATTTTAAAATAATTAATTTTGATATGATTAAATTTTAAATTTGAAAAAAAAATATGATAATAATATTTGGTAAAATAATATAAAATTTGTTATTTCTAAGAAATATGATTTAAAGTATATTTATATTGATATTTAATATCTATTTTATTATAAATTAGTTTTTTTAAAAACTTTATATTATTAAAATATGGTGTTTTTATTTAATCTAAAAATTGATTAAAAATTAGAGTATGATTGTTATAGAAAAAAATGAATTTATCAAAATTTTATTGATATATATATATATATAGATATGAATATTAAGACGAAAGAAATAGATAATGGATATAATAATAGGTGAGAAAAAATGTTTAAAAATAAACGTCGCCTGAGAGATTCGAACTCTCGCGGGGAAACCCCATGTACTTAGCAGGCACACGCCTTAACCACTCGGCCAAAGCGACTTGGTTGTAAGCTGATTGACAAAAATAGTAAATAAATATTATTTTACCTTTTTACCCTTTTTGTAATGAAAAAAGCTTAATATATTTATAAACGTTCAAATTTTTTTCTTATCGAATAAATAGTTAAGATTATAAATTCTGTGCTAATTAATCTCTTGCCGGGATTTTTTTTTTTTTTTTTTTTACAAAATTGAACGGTAAAATTTCTATATAAAATTTAATTTTTTTTTATAATAAACCTATAAATTTAAAATATCGACTGTGTTAGAGGCTTATTTGGCACAAATCGAAAAGTTCAAAAGACTTGTTATATATAATTTTAAAATATGATAAAAATATCGCTCACATAATATTAATAAATAGGAAATTTCAACTTATTTAAAATATTTCATAAATATTCACTAATATCAGCATTTTATCACTATTTTTGTGCCAATTTTCCTAAAATATATACATTAAAAGAAAAAAAATAAATTAGAAGTTCGAATTTTCGAACTAGGCGTTGTATCATTTAAAACCTTAAACTAATAATTGTATCGATTTAAAACGAAATGAATGTTTAATTCTTTTTTTTTTTTAACAATCTAATATTCGTTTCAAAACTAATGTACCAATAATTGTAAAATAGAGAGCCTAAATTCATTTATTTATTTGTGAAAATTTAAAATTTTAATAACCAAAATTTCTAAATTAATGGTAAATTTCTATACAGGTGAAAAAGTTCAAGTTTCTATCGATATTATTATTAATTTAGATTTCTAATTATCTACTAGTAGTATGTTTGAGCTGTTATAAATGATGAGTCAGACACCAGACGATATACCAGCAATGATGCTAGACCCCCAAGGAGTAGATTGTGAGGTCCCACATCGATTGAAAAGGGGACGAAGCATTCCTTATCAGGGTGTGAAAACCTTTCCTTTGTGAATGCATTTTAAAACCTTATGGGGAAGCCTGCCAGATTATGTCCATGTCGTGAGGGGACCTCCAAGGAGTAGATTGTGGAGTCCCACATGGGTTGAAAAGGGGGACGAAACATTCCTTATAAGGGTATCGAAACTTTTCCTTAGTAAAAGCATTTTAAAATCTTAAGGGGAAGCCCACCAGATTATGTCCATGTTTGTAGATTGCGAGGGGGCCTCCAAGGAGTAGATTGTGAGGTCCCACATCGGTTGAAAAGGGAGACGAAACATTCCTTATAAGGGTGTGGAAATCTTTCCTTAGTGAACGCATTTTAAGACCTTAAGGGGAAACCCAGAAGGAAAAGCCAAAAGAGGATAATATCTGATAACGAGCCCTAAAAATCAAAAACAAAAAGAGAGAAAGAATGGAGAATCATTTTTGGGCATTCTATCCATTATCTAGTTAAGAAATTTCAAACTTATCCCATGCCAGAATTGGGAACTTAAGGAGTATGTGATGCATATGAAACAAGCATCAGAATAACACAGCAGCCAACAAACTAAAATTCTTGGGAACAAGATCAGCTAATGTCAGATTCAAAGGGAGAGAGGAGAGCATGTCTTATGCTACAGACATGGACATAATCTGGCGAGCTATACCTGGATCTTGTTGCACCAGCTCCTTCAAGTTGTTCTCCACCTCCGCCTTTTGCTTCTCTAGATACTCCTTTGAGCTCTGCAAATGTGCAAGAAAACCATCTTCCATGAAGGGTTCATAATGAAAAAAAAATACCCAAATGCCAATTATCAAAGATTAAATAAGAACATTGCCAAATAGTGTAAATCACAAAAGTTCAGCTTACTCTCCAAATCTCTTGGTAACGACACCTCTACCGGTCAAATAACGTGATTAGTTCGCTTTCAATTAGATGCCAAAACAGAAAAGTGAGTTCGCTTTCAATTAGATGTCAAGAATATTGTGCGTGTATATGGTAGCTCAATTTGGCAAGAAAGAATGGAAAGCCAAGAATATTGTGTGCATGCCTTCACAGATTGAGCTAAGTTCTAGTTGGCAAGAAAGAAGATAGCATTGATGGCATCGAACTCTTCACTGAACGTAATTCGTTCAAAGAAGTGTTTGGATATGCCCAGATCCTCATAAGAAATACCCTTTTGTGTGTGTGCGGATTCTGTGTTAATGCAAGAATTAAAATTTCAAGAAAACATAGTGTAACGACCCCTATGATGATTTTAACGATAGGCCTCTAATCATGAATTGTATGTGTTTGCATTCCCTGACCCCCACTTACGAAGTATTTCTTAAAATACTCAAGCCGTGTGCTATTTCTATTTCAGGTAAAGACAAAGTACCCCTGTGCAGTTGACGAGGACATTGCAAGTAGAGACCATGACACGTGCATAGGATAGTGGTATTTCATCTCATAGACTTTAGGTTAGTATAGGGTGTTTGTACTTTTAATGTTTTACTTGATTTATTTAGTATTTTCTAACGTTGTTTTAAAGATGATCTCGAACATGTAGGTCTCCATGGCAATGTTTTACGACAATATTTTCAAGGTTTATTTTCCGTATAAGAGAGTAGTATAATGACAGTAGAGACTTTAGGTTAGTAAAAATCTAGGGTCGTTACACAGAACATAGAAGAGCAAGAAAATGTTAGTTAGTGAATGGAAAATGCTCTAACAAAATCTTCAAGAAAAGACAACGTGAATGATAGGCATACAAAATTGGGAACTCAAAGGAAGATCTCTTGTCTCTACAGATGAAAGTAATACTAATATGAACCTGCAGTGAGACAATTGCAGCTTCACTATCCTTGAACTTTTGCTCCTGTTCCGCCATTAGAACCGATTTCGGCTCTAAAACAAACCTGGTCAGGATGAGACAACACAAAGTAAGAGAATTTCATATATATACTATGAGATAAAAGAAAATCTAACTTCAACTGGATCGATCAATTGTAGCATAACTCACGCTCTCCCTGCACCACAAAGAATGATGGAAAGAAATCAATGATAAGCAATCACGATTGAGGCAAAGAATGAACAAATTTCCAGTTACAAAATACAGATTTGTCGAGTACCTATCGATTTGTACGCATTGGTGTCATCGGACAACTGTTTAAGTTCCTCCAAGGTTAAAAAGGCACGCTTCTTTTCTCCCTCCTTGTTTCGTACCTGGCTTTGCACCTGCAAAGCAAGGAGAAAGAACACCAGCTTGAACTCATAAATCAAGAACTCTCCATTCAAATAAAGCGAAACATCGAAGAATGACAAAACTGGAAATACGAACATTGATTGGATTCATCAGTTAACCTAGGAAACATTCGTTTACTTTAGAAATTAAACACGAATATGAATAAGAACAATCTAGACAGTAATTACAAAAGATTTAAGTGAAAAATGAAAGGAGATTACCTGCTTCAGCTTTCCAGTAATCTCAATCATGCGACCTTGAATTTCCAAAAATGTCTGATTCCAGAAACAAAATCAAGAGTTCATGCATCGGAAAATGGCAGTGGCGAGTGGAAAAACAAGATAAGAAGAGTAGAAGTACTCACAGCTCTGTTCGCCTCGTCCGCCATTGCGAAGATTCAGAATTCGCGTAGACGATCTTTGATTGCAAATCTGCGAATTACGAATATGAATGTTTGAAAATTTTTAGGGTCCGATGTAACTGTGTTCTACCGGGTCGGATTTTATTTATTTATTAAATAAATATAAAAATATATTAACACTTAAATTATTTTTTTAAAAATTATAATTTAGTTTTAATCTCTCTATAAAAATTAATATTTTTAACAAAAATGTCATCCAAAATCTTGCTCGATCTTTGAGCGGCAGAGATATCTATTTAACCTACAAGATCATAAATGTCGGATGTCGAGCCACCAATTTTGATATCCATTAAACGGTTCAAAGTCACACCAACTTTCAATAGAGCTTGTCTCTGATTGTCGATTGTCGGTTCTTGAGCTTCGGCCTAACTTAAAGAGGACAATCCTCACAACCCGCTCATAGGACTAGTTCACCACTCGAAGGTCCCAATTAACCTTTGACCTTCTGTAGAATGATTGATCGTCTTGTCTATAAAAGCCATAATTGATAGTATTACTGCCATCAAGAACCCGACTTCTAGCATTGAAGATGGCATCTTTAGAGGTGAAGGTTTACTTCGAGGAGTCGAAAGCGTCAACCTCCATACGAGTGGTGAAGAAATTTGCTTGCCCGCAGGTCGAGACAAGAAATGAGGAAGAGAGCTGAGAGAGATTCCTCATTATTAACTAAATGTGAATGGTAGCATATTTTTCGTCCATATCTCTGTTCCTAAATGTGAATGGTATCAACTTTGGATTAAAAACATTAATTAATTAATTTTGTATTAAAAGAATTTAAAATAAAAATTTAAATATGTAAATTAATTTTTTTAAAAATATTTTTAATTTTTAAAAGTTCGATAATATCCTTAAAATTAAAAAAAAAATAAAAATACTTTTAAACTATCAAAAAAAACTTTAAAATTATCCTAAAAAATAAATAATTTTCGTACGTTTTAATATTATTTTAAAAAGTTTTTGAATATTTTTTAAACATTATAGCGACGATAAATATATTTTTTAAATTAAAAAATTATTTTTAATTTTTTTATAAAGTTTAAGAATATTAATGGATGAAAATTAAAATGTATTTTTAAATTTTTTTTTAGTTTTAAGAGTATTTTTAGATTTTTTAGTTAAAAATATTATTAAAACTTTTAAATTTTAAAACGCCACTATTTTTTTTTATTAATTAAGCTAAATTTAATTCTCAATTTAGCATAATTAATTTATTTCTAAACAATTGTTTTTAAAGTTATGAATAAATTTAAAACTAATTTTAGAAGAAAGAACAATAGAAAGAAGAATATGGAACAACAAATCCAGCGAAACAAAACCCTATCGACTTCAAAAAATTCAGCAACAACAAATCATACAACCTGTTCAAACAAATTCTTCCGATTCAACCTTCAACAGAAACCACGTAAAAATAGATGACTCGCGAAGAACATATAGCGACGCGGTTGAATCCAAAAACATCGATCAATCCACAAAAACAAAATCTCCTTCCATCCTTTCGCCACAGATTCCGAGAAGAAACGAAAAGAAAAAAACAGAGTTCGTAGAAAATGGCCAGAGGCGGAGCTCACAAGAAAGACGAATCCGTAGCGGTAGCGATCGATAAAGACAAATTCAGTCAACAGGCTTTGAAATGGACGATTGAACGGCTTCTTAGCAGAGGCCAAGTTCTTACTCTGCTTCACGTCAAACACAAACCGTCGCATTCGAGTAAGAAGGAAAAACTGCGAACATTTTGAAACCCTAACCTGTTTGATTCGTTGCGCGTCTTCGATTTCTGCGATGCGATTTTTTCTTTTGCAGTTGAATTGATATCTGTTTTTGAATCGATTTGTAGCGACGAACGTCGGTTCCTATTCCGATTCGGATGACGCCGTTGCTCATAAACAGCAGGTTGATAATCAAGCCCATCAGTTCTTCCTCCCCTTTCGTTGCTTCTGCACGCGAAGCAATGTAAGTATCTCTCTCTCCCTCTCGTTTATTACATAAATATAAAATTGGGTTATAAAATGAAATGAATTTTATAGTTTTTTTTTAAAAAGAAAAGCACGCGATGTCTCGGGCCACTTTTGAGTCATTTTTCGTAAGGGTACCTCATTAAACTAATGTCATTGGTGTTAGACGAAACACGACTCTCCACAATGCTATGATATTGTCCAATAAAGATAATATTCCTCACTTATAAACTCATGATCTTTAGTCACTTTTGACTACACCTTCGAGGCCTCCCTTAAATCGAGGCTCGACTCCTTCTTCTGGAGCCCACCATTTGTTCGACACTTTAGTCACTTTTAACTACATCTTCGAGACTCACAATTCTTTGTTCGATATTTGAAAATTCTATTGATATGGCTAAGTTTAGGGCATGACTCTCAAAACCCTCGTGGCTTTGCTTTGGACTTCCCTAAAATGCCTCATACCAATGGAGATAGTATTCCTCACTTATAAACACATGATCTTCCACTAAATTAACCAACGTGGGACTCACTCCCAATAATCCTTAACAATTGGGACGTTCGGAAAAGCTTCTTTCTCGTTTTGATATTTTACTATATTTAGTAGAAACAAAACCGGTGATATTAAGAGACCAAAACAAGAAATAAGCTTTTCTAAATGTCTCAATAACACTCGGTTTAATGAAAAAGATAGCTAGTGGTACCCCTAAGAAAAATGAGTCAAAAATAGCCCGAGACTGAAATCTTCTCTCGAGTGAATTTAGTCAAATTTGAACCTTTCACTTTTAAAGTTAATTTTAAAAAATAGTCTAAAAAAATATTTTAGAAATAATTTCAAATTATATATATATATATTATTGAGTAATTTTCTTTTAAAGTTTATTTTTTATATTGTTAAAATTATTAATTTAGAAATGAAATATTATTAAAAAAATAATAATAATTGAATTTAACTAAAGAAATTAATTATGAATTTGTGAAGCATGATTATTTATTTTTTTAATTTATTTATAATAAAAAAATATAAATAATGTATTTGAACAGATACCATGCAATGAAGTGACGTTGGAGGAGGGAGATATTTCAAAAGCATTAATCAATTATGTCAACAAAAATGTTATTGACGTTTTAGTCCTTGGTGCTCCTTCAAGAACTGGCCTTGTCAAGTAATTTCCCTCTCTATTTATTTATTTTTGTATTTTTACTATTAATTAGTTCGATCGAGTTAAGTATCGTTGTGTTACGAACACGTTAGCATTATGAAACCTTAGGTGAATCTTTTAGTCCTCGTAATTTGAGTTTAGAGAAAAGAAGGGTTTTCAATGTGATACCCGAGTAGAGGAGTTGTAATGGCCCAATCCCGCTGCTAGCAGATATTGTCTTTTTTGGACTTTTTCTTTCGGGTTTTCCCTTAAAGTTTTTAAAATGCGTCGGTTGGGGAGAAGTTTCCACACCCTTATAAAGAATGATTCGTTCTCCTCTTCAACCGATCTGAGATCTCACGATCAGGAGTGGTACATGAATGAGCTGATACCACATCTGAATGAGAACGAACGTGAAGATAGGATAACCAAGAAAGACTTAAAAGAATTGAAAGTCGGTACCTATACCAACAATGTGCAACTTCTTTTTTGGTAGCTCAATCATAGAAACTTCGCGATTAAGCGTGTTTACTGCAATTCTATGTCGAGTGACATTTTAGGTAATGACCTAGAATGCATGCGAGTGATAACAAAATATGCACAAAAGACCTGTGTTGGTCTTTGGGAATGGTAACGTGACCATGTCGTAGGGGAATACGGGAGTCATCAAGTGTTAAATCTAGATATTGTACGTGTTGAAAGGAGTTCGTCTCGGTTCGAGTTGTTGGTATAAATTTTCACTTGTTTTTTGTTGTTGTCGTTCGTGTAGACGATTCAAGTCGGACATCCCAAGTATCGTGTCGAAAGGAGCACCAGACTTCTGCACAGTTTACATTATTGGGAACAAAGGCAAGGTCTCTTCAATGCGACAAGCTACATCTCCAGCACCTGCAAAGCCTATTTCTACGTCGCACAACCAGCCACAACCCGCCACACGCCCTCAATTGTTGCATCAGCTCACCAACGCCTCCGAGGTATCGGTCGAGCACCCGACCATCCTGCGTTCCCAACCCTCTAGACGTAAGTCTTATTGAAACTTTTGAAAATTCACGAATAAAAACATAATTATTAGACGTGAAAAGTCAATTTTATCCTCGAGAGTTTATACTTTGGTGATTTGATTGCAGATTTAGAGACTCAAGACAGCTTAGCATCAAATCCACCTTTTCGTGCCATTCACGAAGATTTTGAAATCAAGTATGTGATTTTACATCTTTGCCCTTCAGGTCACCATTATACATAAATAAAATGTTTATAATTCTAATTTGTTGGATGATAAAAGTTCCACATCGGCTAATTTAGAGAATGATCATGTATTTATAATCGTACGAGGCATTTTGGGAAACCCAAAGCAAAGTCACTAGAGCTTATGCTCAAAGTGGACTCGTCTAACTTGGTATCAGAGCCATGCCCTAAACTTAGTGGTGTCAATAGATTGGTAAATTCTCAAATGTCGAACAAAGGACTCCAAAAGAAAAGGAGTCAAGCCTCCTCGAAGGCATAGTAAAAAATGACTAAGACTCCAAAGGAGTCGAGCCTCGATTAAGGGAAGATGTACTTTGTTCGAGGGGAGGTGTTGGATGATGAAAGTCCCACATCGACTAATTTAGGGAATGATTATAGGTTTATAATCAAGGAATACTCTCTCCATTGTGGGGAGTCGTGTCTAACATAACTTAATGAGGTACGCAGGTCGCCGTTTAATCGGCCAGGGTCGAGGGCTTCGATGGGGAAAGGACAGGACACATCCACGGCGGATTCCGACATATCGTTCGTGAGCAGTGGTAGGCAAAGCTTAGATCGTGGGAACTCGCCGGCGTGGAACTCCGGCACCGGGGACTCGTATCGGCTTTCAAACGGGTCGGAAACTTCGAGCCCGGGTTCAGCCTCGCCTTCGCCCATGTTGGGAATGGGAGGAATGAGGTCCATTGATAGTAATAATAACTCCTCTTATTCTAACCCTTACTCTCATG